GTTTTCTAAAAATCCCCTTTGAACCTCTTCTTTTCTCTTTAGGGCTCAAGTTCACAGTCCAAGGTGGAGGGGACTTGCTTGTGGGGCTACAAGCAGGGGACAGGGCACAAGGAAACCCCAATTCTCAGCCTGCTTCTGCATCTCACCCCCACCTGGGCCTCGGGGCTTAGATCCTGACTCTTTCCCAGGGTTGCTAGACTTTTCCTCCCGCCCCACCCGTCCTGCAGGAGTCGGTAGGGGCAGGAAAGGGTAAGATATTGTCACGTGCAGGTCCTGGCCACTCCCAGTCCCTTTGGCGCGCGCGCGCGCGCGCACACACACACACACACACACACACACACAGGATATGAGCCTGGTGCCTTCCTGTGGGAGCATTAGGTTTATTTCCAGTGAGGATGAACTCTTGGGGAGATGGGGGCTGCCACTGTACCCCCTCTGTCCAGCTGGGAAACTGAGGTGGCATGGTCCAGCAGTCTGGGCATCGGCCTCCTTTTCACAGATTAGTGCCAGGGGGTCAGGTAGTTGACACGACTGTGGAGAGAAACTGGGGTGAGGTGGGCGCCTCTGGGGCATCCTGGGGGAAAATCAGGATGTATACCCCCCCCCAACCCACCTTCCTGCCCTCAAAGCTCTGAAAACACAGCTTCTGCCCTGCCTCTCTTTGGCTTAAGAACCTTCAATGGCTCCCTATTTCCCTTGTTATATTTTCAGTTGCTCTGCTTGACTTCCAAGCCCCCTCCCTTCCGGTTTGCCTCACCTTTCTCTCCCTCTGATCCCCAACCATGCACCACATTTCTCATGTTCAACCCTTTAGTGAACTGCGCTGGCAGGCGTTATATGTTAGTAACAGAATAGCACGTGCTCCCTGGGTGTGCACAGGGTGGGCGAGAGAAGCCAGCTTCCCATCAATCATTAGGACACAGCAGCCTGTGCACCATCAGATAGGGACACCACCCCTAGGGAGGGGGTTTGAGCTGGAGGGGAGAGGCGGAGGGGCGACTTCAAGGGTGGGACATCCTTGGGTTGGGCTGTAAAGACTGAAGAGTTTTCAGGCACAGAAAGATCCACACACGTGAAGGTGTGGAGCGTGTGGTTGTGCTGGTGGCTTGGGTCGCCCGACCAGGGGACTGCGGACTGATGAAGAGAATGGGGCTGGACGCTTGAATGTCGTGCACACTCGGGCTGAGAACACTAGCGCCAGCTCCTGCCAGCTCTGCATCCCGGAGGGCTGCCCTGACCCTCTCCATCATGTTTCTTGTATCTGTCTGCTCGTCTGGCCCCTGTTCTCCTCTCGGGTAACCCTCCCAACCCTGCATGGCCGGGGCACATTGGGTGGGACAAGCTCTCTGCCTCCCCCCCTCCACCTCCAGGTGGGCTGCGCTCCTGCCTGTGCGGGTCTCTGGAAGGCAGTGGCTCTCTCTCTAACGGTTAGAGTCTAACCCTTGGAGCCTCCCTCGCCCAGGAGCCCAGGCAGAGGGAGGGAAGGCCAGGTGTGGGGCGGGCGGGGCAGTTCCCTACCTGTATTTGGAGCCGAATTGTCGGAACGCATTCCTGCGGGAGAGGGAGGAGGGTGAACCGGGGTGGGGAGGCGCATTCCCATCTTAGGGAACCTCACTCCCCGGAAACCTGGCTCCCACCTCGGGAGCCTCCAGGCCACTAGGATTACGCTGCACCTTCGCCCACCCGAAAGGGTGAGGTTGCCAGGGACTGGGGGACAGGGGGCTCCGTTCGGCAAAAGTTCCACAGTTATTCATTTTGAAATTGCGATTTTCTTGTGGTGTAGTGGAGCCAACGAATTTTCCCTCGTCTCACGGGGGTCTGGGGCAGGGAGGGGCGCGGGCGGGGGGCCCGCTGTGGCCTCACTTACAGGGAATCGAAAGGCAGGGGCTTCTGTCCGTAGCGGTCCAGGCTGGGGTTCTGGTTGAGACAGTACTGGGGCAGGCCAGAGGGATGGGGGTGGTCCGTGAGCCGGGAGACACGCACCCCGCAACCTCACCCCGCTCACGCCCCACACAGCGCTCTATGCGGGAGATCTTGGCCCTGAGGACTGGGAGACCCTCCCTCTGCCCACGCCCCATCCCGGGTTAGCCGCTCCTCCCTCCACCCTGCCGGGCCCCAAGGACGGGCCAGCGCAGCCCTCCCTACCCGCCAGTTCTGGGTCAACTCCGGCTTCAAATAGCGCACCGCGTAGCCGCTGTAACTCTCGACTGCGGAGAGAGCGCCGGTCTCCCGCCCCGAGCACACTCAGAGCAAGCCCCGCCCCCTCTCTCACCTGAGCCCCGCCCCTGGGCCCCGCCCCGCCCACACCTGCTCCTAGAACAGGTCCCGCCTTAACTGCACGGCCAGGACAAGCCCCGCCCTCTCTCTCACCTGAGCCCCGCCCCTGGACCCAGCCCCGCCCACACCTGCTTAGAACCTGTCCCGCCTCCAGACCCTTCTTTGCGGGTCGCAGAACCCACCCTGGGCTCAGCCTCAGCCCAAAGGCTCCTGGCTCGTACCTGGCTCCACCCTGTCCCTAAGACGAACCTCGCTTCCATGTCCCTCAATGCGTCTCAGCCCTTCCCTCTCTCAGTGCCCCCGCTGCTCCCCAGCTTCCCCGCCCTGTCCTGGCTGGAGCGCCACCCCCACCCCCATCCCCTGTCCGTAGTCAGCGCTGCGGATCCCGGACTCCAGTTCCCGCGGCTCGGCTACCTCTCCCGCCCCAGGGCATCCTCCGCGCCCGGGAGACTAACCCCTCTTGCTCGGGCAGGGCAGCTTGAACTCTCCGGCAGAGGACACGAAACGGGACCAGTCCTCGATGGCGCGTGTGAAGCTGGGCCAGCTGATTCGGTTGATGCCCGGGGGGATGGGCGCCAGCTTTCCCTCGCGGCTCCTGTGGCGGATCTTCTGGCCAGTGGCGGTGATGTCCTGACCGGGCGATGGGAGTCAGGGCCCCAGGGGCAGATGCAGAAGCCTGGGAGGCCGACGCAAACTACCCTGGAGGGCGGAGCTGACACTTGGCTTATCTGACCGAGGGGCGCCTGAAGCCCCAGATAGAGATGGGAAGGGGACCAGGGTCCCAAGGCGGCGGCCGAGGAAGTACCTGGAGTAGAGCCCAAGACTAGAGGCGCCTGGGGCTGGGTGCAGGCAAGGCCTTCTTCCTTTCCCCTGAGCAAACCCAGGCCAGGAGCAAAGGACACTCACTCACCAAGCACTGCAGGGGTTTGTTGGGGACACCGAGGAGTGTGTAGTGTGCGTTGTCAAAGTCATCTGAAGAAGGAAGAGAAAGGGAGAGGAGATGCCTCCTGCACAGCAGTCACAGGCCCACACCAGAAGAGGTTGGGCCACACTGCTTAAAATTTTTTGGGGGGAAAATATTTGACAACTTTAAGAAAACTAAGATAAAGTGGATTTTTACTTAATATGGCTTACAACAGAATAAACTTCAAAAGATCAAATATTTCAATATTAAGAGAAAAGAAACTATAGAAGTACTAGAAGAAAACATGGGTAGCACTGGCCAGTGTGGCTAAGTTGGTTGGGTATCATCCCATGCACTGAAAGGTTGCTAGTTTGATTCCCCTTAGGGGACATGCAAGAGGCAGCTGATGGATGTCTCCCCCCTTCTCCTCCTCCTCTATCTTCTCCTCCTCCTCCTCCTCCTCCTCCTTTCCCTTTCTCTCTCTTAAAAAAATCAATTAAAAATAATCTTCAGAAAAAAGAAAAGAAAGAAAACACGGGTAAATTTCTTCCTAATCTTGGGGTGGGGAAGGCTGTGCCAACTCTAAATCTGGGAGCCTTAAAGAAAAAGTTGATAACTTTGGCTACATAAAAATAAACTTCTGCATTGCAAAAACAACACGAGAAGTCAAAAGACAAATGGAAAAAATATTTCCACGTATTTTCCAGATGGAGAGAGGATTGGGCAGAAGTTGTTATTAGTGCTTTTATTATTAATTCCTGCTACTGCAACTACTGACCTCTGCACAGTTGTTCTCCATGAATAATAACAACATCTACATCAATATGCTCCATGCATTGAGACCTGTTAGGTGCCAGGCACTAGTCTAATTAGTTTTCCTGCCTTACCTCGTTTGAACCTCACACTGGGCCTTGGGAGGCAGGTCCCATTACCAACCCCGTTTTGCTGATAAGGAAACAGAGGCTCAGACCTTGTGAGGTTTCCTGGGTAGGAAGTAGCAGAGCTGGGATTAGCCCCTTGGTTGCTTCCACCTGCCACTCATAGCCTTGCACTCCCAGATCTCTCTCCTCCAAACCATCCACCCTTTTGCCAAAGACCCAGGGGCCCCAGCAGCGGGCCAGGCGGCCTGACCTTTGCGGCAGTAGGTGGTGGTCTGGCAGTGCTCGTCCGACAGGCAGGCCCTGGCATTATCCATGTCCATGCGGCGCAGGCTGGGCAGGGCCGGGTGGTAGAGCTGCTGCTTCACGCTGGCCAACTGGTTTCTCCGCCGCTCCATCGGGAGCAGGATGGCTGGGGACGCGTACACGTGGGTGGAGCCATCGTCCCAGGGCACCACGTCGATGATGCGGGCCATAGCTGGGGAGCAAAGTGTACAAAGGGGTTCACCCTGGGCTCAGGTCAGCCAGACACCCCTCAGCATCGGAACACCACCTTGGCCAGTGCTGATTTGTCTTCCGGTCTGACATTTATTGAGCACCTAATGTATGCCATTTCTTTTTTATGTTTTCACGAGCTCCCCGTGTGGTGGCAGGGACAATCGGACAACATGGCACACCCAGGATGTGCTGCTAAGGGCTCTGACAGGGTCAGGACAGGGGGTGTGTGTCTGGGGAGGCTGGGGATGTGGCATTCGGGGAATGGTCTACAGGAGGTGGCATTTGAGTCTATTCTTACATAAGGAGCAGGAAGCAGCAGCAGCAACTGGGTTCAGATTTAGCTCAGAGTGAGAACTAATTATGGACTTTTGGCCTTAGCTAAGGCCTCTGGCATTTACTCAAAATTCTACAGGGAGAGAAAGGCATTTTAAAGAAGGGGAGAGACAAGATAGATACGAACTGGGGGAACACTGCTGCCTGGGCAGCGCCTCCCTTTAAAAAGCAGGCATTCCCAGGAGCCATTCCGCCTGTTCAACTGTAGTGAGGATTTGTGACTCAGCTCATTTCCTTCCTGAGCCCCGTTAGAGGCGAGAGAGACGGAGGTGGTGGTAGGTGGGCAGGAGGCGAGGACCTAGGGCCATGGAGGAGCAGGGCGAGGGCACAGGGATGGGCTTGCAGGGGGAGGGACAGGGAGTGGAGCAGGGAAGGGAGGACTCTCTGCTCCTGTCCCACCCACAGTGGCTACCTGATCTGCAGGGCTCAGGCCCCAGGTGCTCGGGCTTATAAGGATTTTCTCTTCTTCCAGCTGCTCAGGGTGGGGAAGAGATAGCGAGGTGGGCCAGGCCCAGTGCCTTATAAGACAGTAGGGGAATAAAGAATGTTCTGCAGACACAATGCCCATTGCAACCTGATTGTGAGGGCACCCACTCCTTGGCAACCCTGGCAACCACAGGCTCTGGGGAGAAGAGCCTGCTGCCAGGGGTCCTCTGTCTGCCCCCCTTGCCCCCCATTTCAGCCTTCCTGAAGGTTGCTGTCCCCTGGGCCACAGCACAGGCCAGGCATGTTGGGAAATGTCAGACAGGGAGCCGGGCTCCCTGGGGATGGCCATGCCAGGGCTGGCCAGGGCAGGCAGTGTGATCCTGGACTAGTTACTGTCTCTCTCTGGGCCTCAAGGCTCCCATCGGTGTTAAGCAAGGGCTCCAGGCCCTGCCATGAGGGGTGTCTGGGGTCTGGGAGGGCCCTCCCTCCCTGCAGACCTCGGGGACAAGGGCACTGCCCTGCCTGCCAGCCCTTGGGGCTCCAGGGGTGGGGATTTGTGGCGGCCCGTATCCAGGGTCAGCATAAGGGGATCAGGGAGAGCGGTGGCCTCAGCAGGACAGGGATTAGCAGGTGATACACCATCCCAGCCCCCTGCAGCCTCCCTCCCTCCTTCCCAGAAAGCAAGGTCACCAGTGCCTAAGCCCAGCACCCCCAAGCCCTGGGGCCTGTTGCCACCTTGGTCACAACCAGTAGAGAGAGACCCTCAGGTGAGGGACCCCTGGGAGAGCCTGCCCTATTTGCATATACTTTGCATATGTACTTTGCATATGCCTGCCCGGGTGCTGAGACTGCGAGATCTAGAGATCTGGCTCCCCAGTTGCTCCTCCTGCAGGGCTCCATACAGCCCCAGGGCAGCATCCCCAAGCCCGCAGCTCATGGAAAACTCTCCCAGAGTTGACTTCAGTCACACCCCCCCATTTATTTCTAACTATTTTAAAGTTGTGAAACGTAACAAAATACAGAAAGTGCATAAATAATGTGACCACAAATTTATAAAATGAGACCTCATGTAACTACCACGCAAGTCAAGACATCGGGCACTACTTTGCAAAAAAAGTTTAGCAGTTTCTCAGAAAGTGAAACATAGCCTGGCCAGTGTGGCTCAGTGGTTGAGCGTCGACCTATGAACCAGGAGGTCACGGTGCGATTCCCGGTCAGGGCCCATGCCCGGGTTGCAGGCTTGATCCCCAGTACAGGGCCTGCAAGTGGCAACTGATCCGTGATTCGCTCTCATCATTGATGTTTCTATCTCTCTCTCCTTCGCCCGTCTGCTCTGAACTTAAAAAAGAAAAAGTGAAACATACATTGACATATGACCCAGCAATTGTACCTCTAAGAATCTTCCCAAGATAAATGAAAAGATATGGCCACACAAAGACTTCACGCAAATGTTTATTCTTTATAATGGCCCAAGAGTGGCAAGAACCCAAGTGTCTGTTGACTGGCGAACAGATAAACAGACTGTGTTATAGCTACACCATGGGATACTCTTGAGAATGAAAAAGAAACCAAGATACGTGCTATCATGTGGATGATCCTCAAAAACATTATGCTAAGAACATTATGAAAGAAATCACACACGAAAACACTCCACAGATTGTGGGAACCATTTATGTAAAATGTGCTCGAAAGGCAAAGCCTGGGAGACGGAAGGCAGATTAGTGGTTGCCTGGGGCTGGGGTGGGACGGGAAGTCACAGGAGGGATCTTGGGGGAGCGTGGGGGGCGGGGGGAATGGGTGATGGGAATGTTCTAAAACTAGAGGGTGCTAATTTCCTAGCTCAGGCATTTTACTAAAAAATCACTGTACACTAAAACGGGTGAAATTTATGGCATGTAAATTATACCTCTTAAAGTTGTTCTAAAAAAATAGATGCCAACCAAAGAAAGCAAAAAACAGAGTCTAGGAGCTTCCAGTACCTCTTCCAAGTCACAGCCCCAACTTCCTACAAGTGGTAACCCGTTTTCCTGCTACATAGTATAACCACGGCTTGTCGTTACCTATGGTCGCAGCCACAGACAAGACAGGCTCATGCGGCCCATCAACTAAAACCCAATCTTCTCATGGCTTACAGGCCTACATGACCTGCCTGGGCCTATCTCTGGGCCTAACCTCCTGCCACTCTCCCTACACCCACTGAGCCCCCGGCCTCGGCCCCTCTCCTCCTCAGGTGCATTCAAGGTCATTCCAGCCGCAGGACCTTCACCTTGGCAGTGTCCTCTGTCTGGACCACCGTTCACTCAGATCTTGCTTTTCATGTCTCAGCTCACATGTCTACCTCTTCACAGACACCTGCCAGCCCCTACTCCCTGCCCTGTTTGCTTCTTTCATGGAATCAGCAACATTTGCAATATTTCTTTTTTTAAAATATGTTTTTATTAATTTTTTTTAGAGAGAGAGAGGAAGGGAGAGGGAGAGAGAGATATTGATGAGAGAGGAACATCAACATCAATCAGCTGCCTCATGCACACCTCCTCCTGGGGATCGAGCCCACAACCTGGGAATTGAACTGTGACCTCCTGGTTCATAGGTCCATGCTGAACCACTGAGCCACCCCAGCTGGGCTGCAATATTTCTTTACTCCTCCTTAATCTGGTTTACTTCCCTCCGTTGAATAGAAGCTCCAGGAGGGCAGGCCCCGTGCCTGTCTTGCTCAATGGGCCAAGGTTGGCACGCTGTTGGGCTCGGAGGAAGAGCTCGAGAAATCCTGTGGATGATCAAGTTAGGCTCCCACCCCTTTGCTGAACATCCCTCTACCCCACTGCCCGTACAAGTCCTGTCGCCTCAGCGTCCCTCTTTCCCGGGCCTCTGTCCCTCTTGTCCTCCTCCCCGAGATCTCTGTCTCCCCTCTAGGGTCCCACCTCAGTTCAGGGGGCCAGCTCACCCGCAGTCAGTCACCCCTCAGTCCTCGGATTCTTCCTAAAGGTCTGGCCCCAGACCACAGCGGTTTGGGCAGAGCCCAAGGCAGGAGCTGCTGAGGCCCCGCCCCGCCCCAGCTGCCCGGGATTCGAGGATTTGGGACCAGAGAGAATCCGCCTGAGTTCGGCCTTGGGCCTGGGGGGCTGGGGTGTACGGCCACTGATGACCGAGAGTGGACAAGCCCCTTCCACTTGGAGGAGTCTCCCAGGATCACCCGGGGACCCCAAGCTGTCATTCTCCGACCAGCCACTCTGCAGCTTGGCCAAGGTATGTGGGGAGCCAGGCCCCTGGGCCCCCCTAGGCTCCCAAATCTGTCCTCCCCCCCCCCCCCCCC